GAAACCTAGGGTAGCATTAGCCATGGGACTTTAGAACTTGACTTTAGAACCTAATGCAGCTGCCTATTGCTCCCCTTTTGAAACACTTTTAATTGTCGCTATTGATCACTGGTTAAGATGCATCTTCTATAGAAGGACACCAAAAATAATTCTAGGATCAGAAATTCAAAACTCCTTGGGTAACATTTGAAAGATATTCAGATGTTAGAGGGAACACTCGAAAAATAAAATTGATTAAACAGAAATGGTATAGTAAGGAATATACAAAAGGAAGTGAATTGATAGTGGTCCATAGGATCCACAACTGGCAGCTGTAGCCTAGATCCCAAATGGTCCTCACCATATTGTTAGGTATTATTAGGTATTAGGGATTTGTGAGTACATGAGTATATGAATACAAAAGAACATGGCTATGGCCAAGTTTGATCACTGCCCAATTAACTCAGAAGGGTTATGGAAGGTGATGACCGTCTACTCAGCCACCATAAAGACTCTGGTGGAAGACAAGTATAAGTCCGGTTCAATGGGCTAGGTACAAAGTATTTTGGTTGACTCTTACACACCTCTCAACACAAGAACTCTCATATTACTTTTTAATTTTTATGTAAACTCATAGCTAGCAGCAAGGACCTTCTATAAGCTCTTGGGCTAGAATTTGTTTTGTCTGGCAAGCATTAGGGTACCATAATTCAAAGACAAGATTTATAGAAAAAGCTATGGGCTTTTAGATCTCAGATATGGCTTGCTCATTTGATGCCTATTTGTTACATATGGATGAGAAAGATGGTGATGATTGGAACATCAAGGAAGGTCTATTGGTAAGGGTTTTAAAGGTAGTAACTGGGGTCCACAAGATGACTAGACCCTGAGAGACCATGAACCATGAAACATTGGGTTCTACACGATGTATCCCCTTGATCTCATCTAAAACTGTTTCTGTCTCCCAGGATTGCTCAGGTAGACAATGACAAAAGACAAATCCACCTTTGTTCAGAAGACAGAGCCCAAAGGGATGTGGGCCTCTATGTATCATCAGACTGACTATATTGAAACTTTACCTACAGCCCAGGTAGTTTTAAGTATATTGCCTGGTATTGACACTTTTTTCTGATTTAAACTTCATCCACCCTCAGCCTAGTCTACAATTAATGGACTGGAAATACAGACTTCCATTGATCCTGATGCTCAACTGACATATTAGCAGAAAAGAGAACACATTCTGTAGAATGAGCAGGGCAGGAGTGGCTGAGAAATACAATACAGAGCAGTCTTTTCATTTTCATGTTCCTTAGGAAGTAACAGTGTGACTGAAAATTAGGATGGGCAATTGAAGCAATTGTTATACCAAGTGATGCCAGGGACATGATGGACCACGGGCTTTCTAGGCAAGGAGTAACTGAACACGCTAAGCCACAAAAGCAGGTCACTGGTTGAACTAATTTCAAAAGCATGGAATAAAAAACGAGCAAGTGGGAAACAATGAACGGTTTCATACCACTCATACCATTTTGTATGCTTTTGGAGGGGGCAATCCATAAGCAAGTCCTATTAATTTGGAAGGGTTTTTTGGCACCCCCGCTTTATACCACCATGTGCTGCTATATCCATCTGGCTACAGATACCGCCAAGACTACTACTGACAATATTAGTAACAAACACTTAGTGCTTATTACATGCCTGGCACTATCCAAAGCACTTTACATGTTCTTTATGTTAAATGTGGGATTAATTGACTCTGGCAAGTCACTGATTTCCAGAGAAAATTGGCTTCTTTTCTCAGAGGTGTTGAAGCAAGTATCTTTACACAACTTTTCAAAGTGGGAGAGTGAGAGAAAATATGGGAGGAATCAGCGGATTATTAGCATGGTGTTAGTCAAAGTGTGTGGGTTACACAGCACAAAAACTTTGACTCAAAGAGCTTAGGTCAGAGAGAAAATGTATTGGCTTATGTAACTAGAAAGATCATGATATTGCTTGAAACAACTCAAACGTGGAAATAAATATCGTTTAGACCCTTCCCTCACGTTCTGTCCTTGCTTCTTTCTGAGTGACAACTTCATTCTCCCCTACCACAAATCGGTTTTCTCCTAGGCGCTAGTGTCATGGCCTCTGTTGCTTTCGGAGCTCACAAGTTTGCCATTCGAGAAGGAAGGGGTTTCCTGACTTCAGGTCCAATGTCAAAAATCCCAGAGAAGGGCTCTGATTGGACTAGCTTGGCTCACCTGCCCATATCCTGATCCAGACCCCATGACCAAGAGAATGGAGTCCAGGGGTCAGCAGCCCCCATTGGGACCACCTACTCTATCCATACAGGGCTCAGCTCCCTTAGTCAGCGAGACCGGGAGAAAGTGCAGCATGCCCAGTGGAGCCACAGCAGGTTCCCAGGGGACAAAGGATCTACTAGTGTGAGAGCAGCAGGAGCTGCTCCACACAATTCCAACCGCACATTTCATGGTACTCCATGTGAATGACGCCCTTCAGGCATGCGATGGCATAGCTACGGCAGAAGTCAGAGGAGAGTGGCAATGAACACAGCAAAAACCAGAAAATTGTAACTGGTCCCTTGGTGAGCCCATGAGGTGGTGGATTCTGAAAAGGAACGGAGAGACACTTGGCAGGGGTGAGGTTAGCATTTGGAGCCCTACTGGTCTTGCTGTGAAGATAGGGTCAACGTCTACTACGTCTGGTGGACACGTCCTTATTTGCAGTCCTGGCTGGTGTGGCCAGGGGGAGCTGAAGCTTACATCTCTCTTCTGAGTCCTTGGGAATAGAAACCCTAAGGTCACTCAAGATGGCCACGCTTGGAACGGATGCTACTGACAGAGGAAAAAAAGAGGACTAAAAATTCCCCTGGGTGAGGTTGACATTGTTCTCACCTACTTCCCAGCTACCTCCAAGAAGAGAGGAAGCATAACCACACACAGCCTTTCACATGTGAAGCAGATGGAAAGACAATAGAGCAGACCCTAAGCTTCCCAGTGCAGCCAGGGTTTTTATTATACTTTAACATTATTACTACTACTATTACTATTTTAATGAGCATCTTCTTCTATTTTGTTTTAGGGCTGTCATCAGATGGTATACCAAGGCCAAACAGTGCCAGTAGGCAGTCACCAGCCCTGTGCCTGCCAAGCATTTCGATGATTAATGTTCTTGGCCCAGAGAAAACAACATTCTCTCTCCAAATGCAGAATTTTTTTTTTTTTTTGGCATATAATTTTGGAAGCTAGGCCTAAAATTCTGTGTGACCATTTTGTCTGTTCTAGCCTAGTCATAGGCTTCATGGTTAGTATAGGACTTATTTTTATGACCAAGGAGAAATAGTAGAGTTCATCTATTCCAATCCATCCATCCTTCCTTACTTCTATCTTTTCCTCCTTCCTTCTTTCTTTCTTGTGAATTTACCAATATGTTTAATTTGAAATTACATTTTATCTGGTTATAAAAGTAAGCTACGTTAAGATAAAAAAAAAAGCTGGAAACAGAAAAATTCTGTTTCCAGAGATAAACACTGTGAACTGTTTTTTTGTATTCATTATATGACTTAAACTCACTCCTTTCTTTTGCTCTTTTCCCAAACTTGACCTCCTTCACCAAGGAATGGTGGCCCTTAAACTTTTGATCAGACAGAAGCAGCTATTCAGTCGGAGGAGTCAGGAAGCACCATCCCAAAGATCTTGGGGACCTGAAGACCTATTAGAATGTACCTCTTTCATTTTCAAATGGAAAAATTGAGTCCCAGAGTCATTTGCCAAAAGCCAATGGCTCTATTAGAGCTTTTCTAATGTAGTAGATAATTACTTCAAAATTCACTGTACTCACTTTCAAGTGTGAAGTCCAGGAAAAAGACAGAACACATCATGTGAAAGGATGCCAGAGGGGTTCCCAGGTGGCTCAGTTGGTTAAGCATCTGACTTTGGCTCAGGTCATGATCTCGGGGTTTGTGAGTTTGAGCCCCATGTTGGGCTCTGTGCTGACAGCTCAGAGCCTGGAGCCTGCTTCAGATTCTGTGTCTCCCTCTTTCTCTGCCCTCCCCTGCTCATACTATGCCCCCCTCTCTCTAAAATAAATAAACATTAAAAAAATTAGGATGCCAGAAAAGTTACTTAGTTTTCTTTTTTGAAGATATATGTCTCATCAGTGTGTGAAAACAATGCCATGGAAATATTCTATCATCAACTTTTAATTTACACTGCAGGTCATTTACTGAGAGTTTATATGAATTAGTGTCGGAAGGTATTCTGAACCCATCGTGTATGATCTTTCCCTAATCCTTGTCTGTGTGGGAAGTTGACATCTGGGCTGCTGTTTTATCAAGAGTGGTGTTGGCTTTGTGCTGGCCCAGATGACCCTTGCCTGCTTCCACTTGCACCAGAGGCACAGGGTGGGGGGCTAGACAGTGCACTGATGTGATCTGCTGGCCCCAAAGAGCCTTACTTGGCATTTGTCTTCTTATCAGGATGGGTTATCTCCCCGTCATTCAAAACTGTCAACTGAGGACCCCAGCATCAGCCTTGGGATCATCGGATGAGCTTGAAAGAAATTCAGAATCACATCTCACTCCAGAACTACTGAATCAGAACCTGAATTTTAACAAGGTCTCTGAGTGACTCATGAGAACATTCAAGTTTGAGAATCATTGGGCTAATTGTTTAAGAGTTACAGTGTTGGGGCGCCTGGGTGGCTTGGTCAGTTGAGGGTCCGGCTTCGGCTCAGGTCACGATCTCGCAGTCTGTGATTTCAAGCCCCGTGTCGGGCTCTGTGCTGACAGCTCGGAGCCTGGAGCCTTCTTCGGATTCTGTGTCCCCCCTCTCTCTCTGCCCCTCCTCCACTCATGCTCTGTCTTTCTCTGTCTCAGAAATAAATATTAAAAAAAAAAAAAAGAGTCACAGTGCATCTGTTTGCCCTCCTCTCTCTCCATTGCTCAAACAACACGTGCATATGCAAGCATGCAAACACATACACAATTCAGGTTTAAAATTAAAGAGAAGATACATAGGTCAATCATAGATTCCTAGTATTTAATTGCTGGATGCAAGGGTAGCCAGTAAAGGTCTTAAATAAGCACATCTTGTACAGATTTAAGAGTTTTCAGGCATAGTTGGTTATGTGGGAGGTGGTTATGGATCTATGTGTTTGCATTAGGTTGGAACTATGGTATTACTGCATTACTTTTTCAGCATTACTTTTTCCTGTTTGTTTTGTGGTCGTGCCTTAATAGTCATTAAACCAAAGTTGTAAAGACAGTTGCAAGTACCAGTGCATAGTATTGTCTACAAGAGGATGGTTTATTGGCAACACAGTTCAGACATTCTTTAATTCAAGGAGCCTTTGACTAGCACAGACTACTTAATAGTTTTTCCAGAACCATATTTCTCCTAATATAAGTTAAATTTCCTCCTACCATGCAAAGACGGACTCTCAGCCAGTCACCCAGTTATATTTATCTAATTCTTTTTTAAAAATGACTATATAAACTAGTTATAAAATAGAAAACATAATGTGTCAAATGGCCACCCCAGATTGTCCTCAATCAGAGGTGATCCACTATAGGGTTGTCCCCTGGGGAAAAGTCTGAAAGGACGGCACGCATGGGTCTGTGAGCAATATGTAGACTCATCTTATTTTTGTTTGTTAATAGTTGCTCATCACTGACACAATGGACAGGAGAACATCTGCCTCATGATGTGTTTATAATACTGACAAGAGCTCAATAAATCAAATATAAAGTCTAAAACTGATAAAAATAATTTAAAAATCTAATGTAAACAATGTAAACATTTAAAAATGTTTTAAACACATGACAAAATATTTATAAACAATTCATATCGCTACTAGTTAGCTTGTTTTAATTTTTGCTGCATGAATAAATTATATCCCCCAATCTATCAAAGTCTCCTTCTGTTTACACTGGGGTTCTCAATCTTGGCTGCATATTAAAATCACCTGGGAACTTTAAAAACTTTCCCCAAGCCCAGGGCAAATCCAAGAGATTATATCAGGATCTTTCTCTAGGGGTGGGACCTCTACATCAGTGTTTTCACCTTCATTTGGATGTAGGGAGAGGTTTGGTTGGTCAACAGGTGTAATCTATTAACTAAGGGAGACAGACATTCATTCAAGATAAAAGGACACCAGATGTTTACCAGGCATTCCATTCCAAGAGCCATTAATTTCCATCTGAAACACATTTGCTTCCTCTGTTATTTCATGTCTCTTTTACCAAAGTCACCAAGAGGATTTAGTGCTCTCAAAATAGAGGGGCCCTCTTCTGAAAAGGGCTCTTCTGAAAAGTTAAACCTGAGTGAAATGAATAGTTCCTTGTCCTCTGCATAGAACTTGCATTTGGCTCATTGTACTACACAAAGGTTTTTAAATAACCAGGTGATATCTTCAGCTGGTGCTTTGTAGCCATTAGTCTTCCCCAATGACCAGCCTGATGCAGGCAGTTCTCCCATTTGCCCTTGAGCTCAGAGACTTCGTTCCTGATCTGTCAGCACAGGAAATTGCTTGCAGGTATCTTCTTTCATGCAGGAGGCAGGGAAAACAAAGAGGCCATAATGCTCTGCATTTTGAGAATGTGTTCAGTTGGGACTGGAAAATTTTCCCCCGAAGCAAAGCCGTTCCACCTCTGGTGAACCAGGACCCCCCGTGTTAAGGACCACAGACAGCATTCGATTTTCAGAATGTTTCTGTGCAGAATTGAAAGTGAGCAACGATTTTAGTAAAATTAATAAAAAGCACATGTGACATAGCTTCTAACAAAATCATTCAAATTTCTAGTCACCGACTTTAGTTTTCTCAGTTGTATAACAGACTACACTTCAAAATATCATTTTTCTTGATATCCCTATTCTGCACTAATTGTTTAAAACTAGACTCTTAATGTTGGGTGTTTAGTATCACTAAATCACCATGAGCTGAACCATAGTGAAGAGAACAGAAAGATGAGGCTTTGGCTAATCAAGGTCTCTTTAATTCAGTAGCCATTTGCCGACAAACTCAAGTATGTACGAGGCATGTGTGTGAAATGAAATGGTTTCTCCTTCAGCTGCATCAATTCCCTGTCATGCTCAGAAGGGTGATGCCAAGCTGATGAACAAACCTCTTCACTTCATGGTTTTTGTTTTCTTGGATTACTCAAAATCTTCACTTCCCTGAAACCCATTCTGCTATAGTCTTCAAAGACTCCAAGGAATATCTATCTGTTCCTTTATGTAGTCTACCTATTTCCTGAAAAATTGTTAATGTTTATTTATTTTTGAGACAGAGACAGAGCATGAATGGCTGGAGGGTCAGAGAGAGAGAGAGAGAGACAGAATCCTTAGCAGGCTCCAGGCTGTGAGCTGTCAGCACAGAACCGATGCAGAGCTTGAAGAACCAATGAACCGTGCGATCATGACTTGAACAGAATTTGAATGCTTAATTGACTGAGCCACCCAGGTGCCCCTAAGTAGTCTACCTATTGCTCAAATATCTATGCATGACATCCTTCTTGACTTTTCCTCAGGGAAAAATCCAGTTTTTTTCCTTCTCTCCTTTGTATTGCTCCTTGGTTCTTATTTTCTATTCTCCAGCTTCAAATATACAAACTCTCTCTTTGGCATTACAGCTATTTCAAAGAGGACATATTTTCAAATTTGTAAAATTTCCAAAGGAATATAATTTTCAAATATGTATTTAAAAATGTGGTGGCTAGCTTTCTGAGAACCTGTCATAATGTTCTTACTACAGTCTTCACACAAAATATATGAGAGCAAAACAAAATATTCCTTGTCATTCCTCGTTTCAGAAAAGATCCCTTAATATAGTTCGTAACAGTTTATGGAGTGCTGTCAGAAATCCTAAGTGTAAAATACGATACAACCAGGGGTTTCTGGAGAGACAAAATATGAAGCACTTAAAGTATATATATCCAAAAAAAGTATATATATCTATATATTATATAAGTTTAAATATTTATAAAATATATTAAGTAATATATAGAAAATATAAAATACATCTTGTTAAATATATAATATGTAATGTTAATATGTATAGTAAATTTAAAGGGTTGAGATAGCAACATAAGTTTTGATAGGCTTTCCAGGAGAGAGCAAGAGAATAGGAGACAGGAAAAGAGGGAAAATCTTAGACTGGGTTTGGGGTGGGTGTCCTCGTGCACGGGGAAGTCTTCTTTAGCTCATCTGCTCTTCAGGGGAAGCATCCTTATAATAATGCTTATGTTAATAATAAGAGCCAGTATTTATTGAGTGTCTGTGCCCCCCAGTTTTGACATAAAATAGTTGTTTGTGTACTGTTTACATAAATGTTCACATTATACACACACACACACACACACACACACACACGCCTTTTTAGGTATTTAGGATGGTGAGGAATGTGCAGATGTGGAAGTGGGAGGGTAGGAGATAGCTAGGCAAACAAATAAATGAACAAAGCTGTGATAGAAGCTATAAGAGGCACTGAGTGTGGCCATGCATTTCCTCTTAACTGGCAACATGTTCTTGAATTTTTAGATAGAAATAGAACTCAGTGGGGGGGACTTTTCATTGATGTCTCAGAACCTGAAGTAGAATGGGATGTGGTTTTCATCTCTGTGGTATTAACTTTGGTCAAAAGATGGCAGCAAAGCTCAGCTAGTTCTTCACAAGTCACTTCTCAACCACTAGGGGAGGAGAGCATGGCTTGTTCAGATCTTCGAAAGGTTAATGGGTAAGTGGGAGAAAGATTATCTTGGCAGTTACACATGGACTTCGTTTTCTGATCGTGTTATCACAATATTTATTAAATATTAAAAATATCACAAGTTCAATATCAGCCAAGTTACAATATTAAAATCACATTTATTCATTCATTTGTTAATTTACAAATGTAAATATCCATTAATTTCCCAAATGTTTGAGAACCTGATGGGAGCTGGCTCTGTACTGAGGGCTGATGATACCTGCCAGCAAAAACAGAGGTTCTAGCTCTTACTGAACACACTCAGTATGCGACAGAAATGAATTTATAATTATTCATAGGAATATGATTGCCATAGGATATGAGCCCCACAGGAGGGGAGATTTTTGTCTGTCTAATTCTCTGGTGCATCATAAGTGCCTAGAACAGTCCCTGGCACAACGTAGGTCATCAGTAAGGAGTTGCTGACTGAATGAAGGAGTGTAATTACAAATTTGAGATGCGTGTGTCCAGAACATAATTCTATGTGAGTGTCTAGCGAAGAAATACAACCTGGGTTTGAGGAAATGATATTGGACACAAGGCCAGAAGGATAAGTAGGCGGTAGCCAGGTGGCTGTGCATATGCATGTGTATTGGGGGTGAGGCGGTCTCAGGTACAGAGAAGACCATAAGCAAAGGCCCTGTGACAGTAGTGGCTTTTGGGGGAAGGGAGGAAGGCTTTTGGGGGAAGGCTTTTGCCTCAAGGAGAGGCATGAACAACATGGCTTAATGAAAGGAACTAAAAGACAGCCAATGTGGCCACAGCACGGAGTAAGGGGTGGTCCAGGGATGCATGGTAGATCAGATGAGCGGTTTGAAGAGCCTCTGGTGTAAAGAATGAGGAAGAGAAGTACAGGAATAGATTTCAGGGGGAACTGTTGACTATTTATCACAGGTCCACATGAGAGATGAGGGGAGCTTAGACTGGGGAGGTGCTGATGGAGTGGAAGGAAGCTGTCAAGACCACCAGATAGTCAGCAGGCAAAACCACTAGGACTTGGTAGTGCATAGGTTCTAGAGGGTGAAGGAGACGAGGTTCCAAGCATGACTTCTGGATTCCTGACTTGTGCAGCAGGGAGGTGGGGTAGACAGGAAGTCTTGCAGGAAACCCAGTTTGGGGGAAAAGAGAAGATCAGGGGCTCTGTCCAGGATGGGTTGGGAATTTGAGACATCCTAACAGAAATATTAAACGCAGGGTTGGATTTAAGGGTCGGAGCTTGGAGAGGTCTGGGGTAGAAATGGATTTGGGAGTTATTGGCCTGTAGATGACATTTGAAGGAGACGGCATGGTTGAACCCTCCTAGGGAGAGAGAGCAGGAAAAGAAATGGGGCCTAAGACTAGCCTGGAGAGGTTCCCACAGTCAGTGGTCAGGGAGAGAAGGATGGACCTGCACGCAAGACAGAAGGAGTGGCCAAAAGAGTCAGGAGGAAAATCAGAAAAGAGTGTTGTGTGCACAATGGACAGAGTTCTCCAGAAGCAGGAAGATCCTCCCTGTGTCCTGAGAAAGACAGGTCAACATGTCCCTCCCTTCAGTAAGCTCACTCGTTCACTTGTTTATCCATTACTCCTTCTAGGCCTTGACTCCTGATAGAGCCAGACCCAGGATACAGTCACGGTAGAGCCACCAGAACCCCACAGCAGGGCAAACAGGACTAGGGAATAACGGCATGGACAGAAATACCAGTTAATTAGTGAAAGAAGTGAACTTACAGATACACAGAAAAGGAAAGACCCCTGGACTAAGGGTCAGGAGACTTGAGATCCAGTCTGAGTTGACCACTGACTGCTTTGCCAGTTCTGGGGTCTCCCTCACCAGGTTTGATTTCGGGGTGAGTATCATTAAATTTCAGGGGAGAGGACAGAGGGTGGGGTGGTAGGTGGAGAAAGAGGAGGGAAAGGAAAAATAATGGTCTGCATACCTTGTGGGATTTGCTTGCAGATCTTATGAAATCAGGTGTGTGTGCTCTGGAAAACATATCATCAGATATGTTTCTATATGGCATTAGGATTTTTTATTAGTCTTATAAAATACGGGGCGACTGGGTGGCTCAGTCGGTTAAGCGTCCGACTTCGGCTCAGGTCGCGATCTCGCGGTCCGTGAGTTCGAGCCCCGCGTCGGGCTCTGTGCTGACAGCTCAGAGCCTGGAGCCTGTTTCAGATTCTGTGTCTCCCTCTCTCTGACCCTCCCCCGTTCATGCTCTGTCTCTCTCTGTCTCAAAAATAAATAAACATTAAAAAAATTAAAAAAAAATAGAACCATGTAATTTCTAAATCTGAAGCGTTTCCAGGCGTTTATTCCTAAAAACCTGTGTGGATGCCATTGATTCCTTTCTAGCCTGCTGCCAGCAACGTATTCTTTTCTAACTAAAAATTTAAAAAAACAAAATAAAAGAAAGAAAGCCTCTAAAATCTACTACTGATGCAAGGAAAAAGATAAATGTAGAATTTTAACAAGACAGATTCAGGGCCGTTCACGCTAATGGATTTCAGGCCAAACAGTGAAAACAAAAGGATTACCACTAAATCCTCAAATCTGCTTTGAAAGCTGAGGAGAAGGGAGAGGGCTCATCCAACCATTACCTGGCAACCCCTGCCTATGTGTGGTGGCTATTTGGTGACCTCTCTTCGGGAGGGCCATCTGGTGCCTGGCTTTTTAATCAGCCTCCTTCGGAGGGGTGGTCCCGTGCCAGTGATGGTGTGGCAAAGCCTTTTCTTATTTCAAGCAAATTATCTCTAGAGCAATGCCACATTGGCCAAAGTAATCGCTGCCTTGGAACAAGAACCCAGCTCTGGCACCTTCTGTCATAAACCCCTGTGTTTGAACTGTGCTGATAGGATTCAAGCTTTCCTTTTCTAAAGATAATGTTGACTTGAGAGGGTAGACGTCTCATTCATTTCCTTAAATCCTGCCTTAAAAGTACCTACCGTCCAAAAGATGCTGTACCATAGATAAAGCTTCAGCTTC